GGGTTGTTTAGTCAAATACACAGCTGATAAGACCCTCTGTCTGTTGATGGCTGCATCCAAGAGTTTTCAGAAACAAAGTGAATCAACACAGTAGTGCAGAAAGGAACTGTAAACTCATGTATCAAAACAAAAAGAAAAAAAAAACTGATGGTGAGGAATGAAAATTATCATTCATTGCCTTTCATGCACCAGGCCCTCTTCAACAACCAAACTGAAAAAAAAAAAAAAAAAAATAAAAACATGACAAAGAGCTAATGGAAGACAAATGACTGAAGAACTCCAACTACAGAGTACAAAGGAAAATATTTCTCCCTAATTTTCTAGGCTCTGCCTACGCAGGTAAACATTAGCTACAGTATATACAAATAAAACCATCCCTACTCAACAGTATTATTTAATCAGTAATGTTAAGGTCTAAAGCAGAGTATTCAGATTACAGCTGACTCCTGAAATATTGTGCCCATATCTCCAACACTACGTAAAACCCTTTAAACTCGTTTCTTCTGGACCTCTTTTTACCTTGCGCACTGACAGATTGACACTCATGTTAGTCAAATAGTACTGTATCTTAAAAAGAGCATCCCCTGCCAGAGTTTGACCTGCAAAGAATGCTGAAATGAATTCTCATCATGTACTTGGAAAAGCCTAGTGACAGCACACCAGGATTATCTACGGGAGCCCCAAGATTAGCTGAAGGTCTCTCTCCCACCCCTAGACAAGTTAACTGGCAGATGTGCTGTTCAACCACAGCCTTCACACTGATTAGCTGGAACAGGCAAGCTGTGGTTGCCCTCAAAGTCACCTTGACTGGAAAGAAGTCAGCTGCAACACAAGGTTCCTCGAGGACAGATGGAGACATTTATATTGACAATAAATGGGATAGCAGTTAAAGAGCTGTTAATTCTTACACTTCTGGGCACAATGTCCAGCTGTAGGCAAGACATCTACTTCCCAGTGGTATGCCTCCATATAATTAAAGACATGAAGTAAAGAAGAATGTTGTAAGCTTCCTCTGAATCTAAGGAGATTGACATTTGCTAAGAACAGAGAGCAATCAGTCCTGAGATTTATACATATCATGAGAGATGTCATGAATTTTGTCTGACGCATACCAGCACTCAGCACTGAGGCTAGAGAAGCAATTATTAGAAGGACCAGCAAATCAGATGTACAAGACCAGGGAAAATCTGAAGAGAGAAAGCAGAGAATCTGCTGAACTTTGGTGTAACCCATGTGCCAGAAGCCATCAGCTCTCAAATTGCCCACCTGAGCCTGGGGCATGCTCAACAGATACCGGAGACATCTAATACAGATGAAGACCCAAATTTATATCTGTGGTTTAGCCCTATGTTTAATTAATAAAGATGTTTTGGTCAGTAAGTTCTTACAGTAAGAGACTACTTGTCAGCAATGGGTACAACTTCCATCTAAAGACATGAATCCCAGCATCACACCCTAGTTACCATTACACATATACCCTTCCAGCTCCTTCACATCAACTTCTAAGCAGTTCTGAAAAGAGACTCCTAAAGCTCTCACTAGGTTCTCAAAAAGCTTTGAACTGAACAGGACAGCTAGTTTATTCACTTGGGTATTCATCAAACCAATTTCCACTTGACTTTTTAAGCATCCGTTCATCCTGGTTACAAGTTTACACAGATACAAGCATACCTACCCACTATTAGTTTCCTACACAACTCGGCAGCCATTGCTTTTTTTTTTTTTTTTTTGCTAATACTGATGCTTGTTCTACAATCAGAGCAGAACCAGTGTCTAAGAACCTGATCTTTAAACTTCAGTCTGGTTATTATGTATTTTTTACAGCCTAGGTGGTTTCTGCTGTGGTTAGCAGAACATTTCATCCATCTGGCAGGCAATTAGCAACAGCTCTGTCTGTGTTTCTCCGAGGTGAGCCGTTACCTTCCTATGTGAGCCCTCTCTTACACTATGCTGCTGATATATATCGCTCTCAGTAGAGCAGAATCCAAATTTCATTCCCAGGATAATGTCCAGGAGAACATTACAACTGGCTAATTCTGAACCTTACCTTGTCACCAATCTCATGAGTACTGGTAGGACAAGATAGCCGTATTGTTACCCTGAGGAAAGGAGAAGAATCATCTTCCAGCCAACTGGTTTCATTGCAGTAAGAGTATGTACCTGCAGAATGCTGCCCAGTCAAGAGTTTCCAAGTACTTTATAAGCAAGTATATGACAGGCAAAAAACAGACCTGCTTAGAAGTGGGCAAGGATAATCTAATTGTGCCCAAGAGCACAGAAATCAATATAGTAGTTTTTTAAATTTAGTAAACCTGCAGTAGTTAACCAAAGATCACACACTCCAGGACGTGTCTCTCCACAAATTCTCTCTCCACAAATGTGCAGGCAGCTTGAGTGTACACAGTCAGCTGATATTTCATTAAGTCCCTGTTTAACTTAAAATGAGATTTAAACAGATCTTTTGCCCTTACAGTGTAACAGCATTCATACCTCATCTGGAACCTGATAGTAAGGTATCAAAGGGTTAATTAACATGTATGCAGTGCATGGCTTAGGCAATATTAAATGGAAATCTCTGAACAGACAAGTGTCACTGAGTGCAATGGAAATAAATTGGGCGTCTCCTTCCACACTTCAACTTTCTCTCCCTAGATTTGCTCAGAGCTCTCTATGCTGCTTGTTCAGTAATTTCACGCTACGCTGCTTAACAATGTAAGCATGGAGGCTCAATCTAAAACCGCACTTCCCAAATGTCACTTGTTTGTGAACACATGGCTGAACCTAAAATTGCTTTTAATATTAGAGTGGTGCCTGCTGGCATTGCTGTAGTTAAGGGTCTGTCAGAATTTCCATGATAAACCCCATTTTCTAGGGTGTAATACCATGACCATTTGCTACAGATAAACCTGGTATACAAGGTCACAGCAGACAAACACAATTTTTAAAATTTTCAAACCAAGTTTGCTTGGCTATTTTTGAGTTTAAGACACTTAACACTGATTGGAGGCCTCTTACGATTCTAGGGGATTTTTTTATCATCCCTTTAACTCCAGAACAAATTCAAATGTAGGACTCCCACTCCAGCCTCCACCTGGCCCTGAAGCCTCAATTAATGCCACAGGGTCTGGTCTACAGCCTTGATGGGATATGAAGAGATTACAAACACCAACGTAGGGTTCACAGCTTGAACACTGGTGGGGGACAGAGAGGACAAATACATAACTTTTCAGCACAAGGATTTTTCTGTTGTGAGAATAATTTCAGTTGCCATTACTAGCAATTTAGAGGACTTACCCCACTGGCACAGCAAGTTTGTGTATTTTATATTTCATGGCATATTTCCTTTTTATATTTCATGGCACAGCCACTATCATGCCTAACAGAAGATGCTTTTACACCACTGTAGTTTCAGAAATTAAATACTAAAATCCACCTGTTTATTTTAGAAAAGGAGAGACCTCAAATGCCAAACTTGTTGGCTATCAGTGGAGTTCTTGAAACTATAGGGTGAATATTACTGAAAAAAAATAAACAAGACAGACTCTTCACTTTTCAGGAACACGACCAGCTGAGCTTGCTTTCCATGGGATGAGCTTCTCAGACATGGACTACTGCGCCATTGAATAGCCAAAGACTGCCTGCCTGTCGTTGCTGAGGATACAGAATACCAAAGAGGGGAAAAAGCAGGAAAAAAGGTCCTGTGGAGTGACAACCATCTTTCTTTTCTAGTCGGGTTAATGATGTTCACTTACTGAAAAGGAAAAATAGGAAGAAACAACATGGGGTTCTTTTGTGATTCTACAAGATCCCTTGAAGCCTGCAGTGCCAGGAACAGCACTAACCTCCGGAAGCGAAAGTGTGACTCACATTAGTCATAAAGCAGCCATTCAGGCTGATTAACATACAACATTGATCACTACCGAATATAACTCTGTGCAGAAAGTTTCAGCTTGGCTCAAAAATGGCCGAAGGCATTACAGCAAAAAGGTGGAGGGCTAAGAAAGGCACTGTCAAGGACCCCAGGATCCCAGAGCTGAGAAAAGTATGACGCCATTCAGTAATCATCTACCTTTTGCTACTCTCAGAATATGAACCATTGTAAAGGAAAAATGGACAGCACTACATTGTTCCACAGACCAAGACACAGATGTACTTGCAGTCCATTTTGAACAGAGTTGGTTTAGTCCAGAAGAAAGCATTAGGATGCATTACAAAAGTTCCAGAGTCAAGCTGAGTGACAGAAGAAAAATAAGTGAAGGTGGTATTATAAATGCTATTCTAGAGTGAAAACTAAGTCTGCCTTTCTGGAAAGGAACATCTGAGGCAATTTGGCAATTTTCAAATGCTACTCTCTGTAATCATTTATCCTTTCCCCAAAGACTGTGTGGAACTAATTCCCTATCAGTTATGCTGATCAGTTATACTTCACACTTAAAAACAAGTGCTGTTGTGAAAACCGTCACTGACTTCAGAACTGTCAAAAGTAACAAAGCATATAAGAAATTTGTCCTAATGAGAAATAGCCACACAGAGTCATTTCAGCATGACTCTCCTCTTCAAACTTAACTGAGTGCATAGATGAGAGAAATTCAGATATTTTCAGAAGGTTATTACCATAGTCTTATTAAAGCTTAAAAGAATTTCCAGCTTATTCCTTCCTCTTCAGTGTGTACCTAATGAATTGTATTCAGTTACATCAGTCACCTTATTCACTGCGAAATGCAGTTTGGATGAATCAGAAAACTAATCCTAACTTACTAGTCTCAAAACAACCTCCTTACAAAGTGTGTGACATCCAGCATTTGAGAAAGTCATTACTATGCCCTCAAAATGACACAAATGATTAACAGCCACAAAACAGCAACATGGCACAATGAAAGAGTATACGGTCAAAGCAATGGCACTTTTCATTTTGTTTTTAAGGGTAAGTCTCCCGTTCATCCCTTTGTTTTTCATGAGCTAGTGGCTTTAAATAGCCCTTCATCCCAACAGACACCTACTTGGGTTGCCATTTTTCCATAGTCAATCCATCGCAAAGTGGCAAAGTTGGTAGACTCAGCACAGTTGAAGCCATGATTGAAGCCAGCATGGTAACCATAAGGAAATGTGATCATAAACTCTCCAGCTTCCTGGGTGATCTGAAAAACAGAAACAAAAGGAAGAGAAGTCCCACAGATCAGTTAACACAGCAACTTGAGAACAGACCTACAAAAAATAATTTCACTGGTTAAATCTCTCTCTCTCAACTGAAGGGTAGGCAGAATAGTCACTGCCAACTCTTGGCTAAACCTAGAACAATTTCTAGTTAACTGCAGAAATACTGAAGTATTTCTGTTAAGGAAAAAAGACAGTAAAATGGATGGAAGTGGTCACAAAGTCTTAACTAGTTAGACTCACCGGCTCCAGTTACAAAAAGGGTCTCAGGCTGCAGCATTTCAAAGAATAAATCTTTAGATCGTGACCAATTTAGCTCATGTAAGTCCAAATCTACACTCCAACTACCATGCCAGTGGAGCCAAAAAAAACTGGATTTCCCTCCCAACATGCACTCTACACTGCAGGGTCCTACTGCAGTACATGCTACCTTTCACTGCATTTATTTCCTCACTCACGTTTAGCAGTCTTATTCCCATTTGTTCACCCATAAGTCAAACACCCTAAAAATTACAGCCCACCACTTTTCACTTCAGTAAAATTAAAACAACAGTAAATATTATGGGCATTATTAATATAAGGGTTAAAAATTCTACACATTACAGCTGTAATCAGAGGCCAATCAATTTGTGATGCTTCTAGAAAACCCTCTTTTTACATCTTATGCAAAGAAGATACTGGGGAAAAAAGGGAATTTAATTGTCAGAGTATGGCACAGATCATAAGAGCAACTGGCAGTGACATAGCACGTGTGGAACAATCCTTCCAGTCCAGCTCTCTGGCTTAGCAAGCGTGCGACAGCACCTCCCTGCTATGGATTACAAAAGAGGCAAAATTTGACCTTCCCTGTCTTTCCAACCCAGAAGTGCTGACAGACCTTTCACAGCAGTCACATGCCAAGCAACTCCATTTGGATTCCTTCCACTGGCAGTAACTCACAACACAGCAGTTCAGAGCCTACAGAGATTTCAAAGAACTTACACTTATAAACACGAGGATGGGTCCAAATTGAAAATGTAAAGAGACAGAAGTTAAAACATTTACCCACTTGGCTGGACTAACACCTAAACTTGCTAATGTTGCTAACGTTAGCAGAATAATTAAAAAAAAAAAAAAAAAAAGAGAGAAAGAAAGAGAACAAAAACTGATATGATAATACAAGAGGCTTTTGCAGTATTTTTGGATGAGAGGTGCTGAAGTCCGGCCTGTACCCAGCTTCATGGAGCATCCTCCCATCCAGCGCCTCCATAAATCAAAGCAGAGTGGTAGATGGCTAACTTCAGAAGACTGAAAGATTATGTTTCTGTCAGTAAATCTACATCCTGGTGTCTTCATTTCAAGCCCACAGTGTATGTCCTCCATGTCACTGCTGTCAACATTATCCCTACAATAAATTAGAAAGCACTCAAGATGATGGATAGGCCATGCAGAAAAGTAATAACTATTGAAGGAAAGCCAGCACAAACTGCCACTCATGGAGAAAGCCCTAAATTTACTGACTTCTGCAAGCTCTTGAGGAATAAATGGAAAAATCAATAGGAGATTACAGAAATACACATTTTTAATTATTAAAAAGCCCTACTATTGATCTGTTTCTTTTTTTCCAGAAGTAAATACCATTATAGAGATTTATAAATGCATGCCTTTCACTTCATTGAAATCTGCCAAGAATTTAGATGAAGGGATCCTATCTCTGTTTCTAAAGAAAAATGGCACATGTTCACTGTTTCTGAATAATAGTGATCCTCCTTCAAAAGCTACTATTTCAGGACAGGAGGTATTCAGATATAGGCTGCTCAGACTAAAGAGATCTCCTCCTCCTTTTTACATTTAAAAACATCCTTCCAATGAGTGTCATAGAGAAGAAAGGAGCTATCATAAAAAACACACTTTCCCTCCACATTCTGTAAAGCAGTATTAGGAATTATATTTGAATAACATGTTAATGATCCCTCTTGCTTTAAGGAAGTTTGGTTTGGACATTAATATTGTCCTCTATCTGTGCCTTTTTTTTTTTTTTTTTTTTGGTAAAATATAGGGAGATAAAAATCAGATTGTTAGCATTAAGATTTCTACATATACTCAGCATGAAGAGGACACCAGACATCAATCTGCAAAAAACCTGCATGTCACAAATCAAAAGAATCATAGTGGGAAGCCTAGCTAAAGAGGCAAAGACTTTTTACCAAGCAATAAATTAGAAACTCCCTTATTTAAACCATTTTGTATCCCATCCCTATCACCATACAGCTCAGCAAAGATGACTAGGGATAAGCTTGGAAGAAAAGTTTTCCTCTATCGCCTTTTTACAAACTCCTTTGCTCCACTTGCTTGGTTACTGATCAGAAATCACTTAGTATGCAATTAGTAACCAATGCCACTTTCCTCAGATGGAAAAGCAAACATGTAATAATGTATTATTCTGAATAAAAATATGCCCACCTGCAACTTTCAAATATTCCAATTCCTGCAAGAATTTCCTTCACTTTCTGACCTCCAGCAGACCCAACAGCACTGCCTCAACATGCTGCTTGAATGAAATGGCAGAAATTAATTCCCATTTCCTATTCTCCTCCGTTCTGCAGGACAACTGCATGTCACTGGAGGATCATGTGGCAAACTCCACTTAGAATGGCTAGTGTGCACCAAAAGGTACTTTTAAAATTATTATTTTCAGCCTCTTTAGATAAGCAGTGCACGCTTTTTAGGCTCTGTTTCACCAATTATTGCACCACTTATGGCTTCTGGTTAAAACAACTTCATAAGGAAAACACCACAAGTTGCAGCAAGACACAGCATCTAAATGATACCGAAGCAGAAAGAAGCATAAGAAGAAACCCTTAAATATTACAGTTTAGGCCATAAAATAAAGATATGGTCAGACAGATTTTTCAGGAGCTTGCATTTGCTACAGATTCTGTATTTTCTTCTGAATATAGTCAGGACAGAAAACATCTTTCATCCTCTATCAAAAGTCATTTCTCAGAGAGGCATCTATGCACTAAACTGAGATGCCTCCCATATTCCAATGCACTTATCCACTTTTCCTGAAATTTGTAATGTGAAAATCCTTACCAAAAAATTCAGGTCCCACAATTAGATATTTTCATCCATGTGTAGCAGGTACCAGTGTTTTCACACTTGGGAATTAGGTTCCACAGATAGAATTACAAGAAAAACGGTTTGTTGCTCTCTATGAACAATTTAATACCAACCATCACGTGCAAACTAGGCCAAGCCTAGCCACTGATGTTGAACCATACGCACCATATTGCTTTGTGCAAGTCTCCCCTGCACTGGCAGCAAACTCATCTGCCAAGCCAGATGATCACACTTCAAATTTCATTCATCATAGCCTTCCACTAGGAAAAATGAAACACTCTCTGGAGCAGTAAATTGAATGAATTCATAGCTTTTATGCTATAAAAGAGCCAGGTTCTTTTACTTCCATCTCAAAGAATCACCAGGCTCATCAAATAGGTGCTACGCTTTGTCTCAGGTGGACTAACTCTAACAAAACTACGCTTAAAAAAAAATATTGGAACTTGAGAGTTCTTACTTAGAAAAAGATGGCCATAATATCTGCAGGTGATGATGCAAAGGGGGAGGGGAAGGATGAAATCAGTTTGAACCAGGCGTTCTTTGACACTTTCCACTGGTGTTAGGAGTGCCGGTACCTCTAACTCAATTCTGTTTCCCACATCCAAAGGCAGGGCACGCTGGCAGGACAGGCTCTGTGTGCCGCTAACACACGGCAGCAGGAGCTGTTCGACTGATTCTGCACAGATACTAAATCCGTGGTAAGCATGCTTGGCTGAGGAGATTTACTTCTTGCCAGAAGACTTTAAGAATAAGCACATTAAAACGATCATACCAAATAAACATGACCCCTCATTTCAAGTAAGAGGACTTAAGAGATGGTTCCTTACTGGCTTAGCACAGAACAAATGCTTACACAACAGAGAACCAGCACATCTAATTTCAGTTTTCGATTCATACCGAATCCAGGAGAAAAAATTCTGTGTTCAAAAACTGCCAATGAGTTATGCTGCCTATTGATAAGCCATAGCATCTGTATTACAGTTTGCCCCTCTCTACCTGGAGAGGCTCCCTAATTGACAAAGTTAGTTCTAGTGAAAGCTTTTATGAAGAGAAGCACTCCACAGGAAGTGTCTCAGCCAAACCACAAATCCTCATTTGCAAGCAGCCACCTGGTTTAAACCGATAGGATACATTTAGCATAATAATGCATTTAGAAATTAAGCAAATTGCTCCCCAGAGGCTTGCAATGATTGTTTCCTTAAAAGAGGGGTGCTGTGCTTTGTGCACCTCAATGACTTGCTAGTGTCTTCAGTGCATCCTTTGTACATACCCGGTCGAAAGGAATGCCATACTTCTTCAAGATTGAGGGTGAAATGAGGGTCATCTTGTGACGGAGGAAAGCATCACATCCCTGAGAGCTTCCTGGAAAAAATCCTGTAGAGACAGTAAAAAGAGGAGTATCACTACAAGAACATTATATCCAATCAGTTATTTAAGCAAAGACAAGCTAACAAAATAAAAACATGCCTAAATACTTTATATAGATCAAAACAATAGGCATACAACTGAAGATGTCAGTAATTAGCACATCCCTCATTATTTAAAATACCACGTAAATTTTGTGACAAAAACTTGCATGTTGAGGCACGTAAGTCTGAATTCCATTCAAGTTGTGAGTTAGCATGAATGTCTTCTGTGTCTGGGAGTAAGTATCTTAGACAAAATCTCAGTAAAATCCTAGCAAATTAAGAAACAGAACTTGTCTGTCTCGAGTTTTGGGTAGTACCCTAAACCCTGAGCCACCCTTTTTCTGAACACGGACCAGGAAAAAGTAACAAGCATGCACCATCTACTCCAAACACTGCCATGTTCTTTTTATACCTTCTCTGACAGGCTGCTATATTACTCTTAGGAAAATAATACCACTCATAAGATTCCAGATCAATCTGCCCTACATACCACCCCTAGAGGAAAAAAATAAGCACGCAGATATTAATATCGAGTAAAAAGAAAGAAGGGAAACAAAACATATCCATCACAAGGCAGTGGAAGGAGGGACACTCATCCACTGGCCACAGCGGTCACTAACAAGTCTGGCAGAGACAGTATGATCTGACTCAGACAGCATCTCGGCACTATTAAGTGTTAAATTCTTCCACATCTACAAGATCCACACTGAGCTCTCAAAACAAATCACAAATAATTAAAAATACTAAAATTGTGGTAAAAACTGAACAAACCCCTTGATGTCAGCACTTTGCTCCCAGAAATGTCAGCTCAACCAACATAACATCGTTTTCCTCAAGACCATGTGGTTCGTTCCAAGTGGGTGATTCAATAACAAATTATGTGTTTATAGGCATTAAAAAACATAACCATTTAGGAAAATAAATAACCCAAGCTCTGGAAACAAAACTAATTGACAAGACATAATGGAAGGGGGTTTCCAAAAGTGAAAAGGATTACTGGATTCCAGGTTTTCTTATATTTTTGTACTAAAAGCATTTCAATTAAAATTATGACTGTCTGCTACCCAGTCTGTCGTCCCTCTCTGCAGTTCCTCTTTTTAATGCACAGTTTAAGTGGCTCTCATTAAAGCTACTAATAAAGAAGCACATTTTAAGTGATTAGCACCAATAACATGGCAACACATTAACATTCTCTCCATGGGCTCCACAGCTCTCCCAGTGAGCCCATTTACAGCTCAGCTATTCATTTTCCCATATTAATTGCACACTCATTTCTCCATAGTAAACTTCTTCATAGTATAGACCACTGATGCATAGGACAGGGAGAATGCCCAAGCAGTGAATACTGTTTCATTGTAGTTTCAAAATATTACCCATCCCAACTTCCAAAAGGTACTAAGCAACGGAAGACGAACATAAAGATGAGATCATTGATAATTTGCTTCTGGTTTATGCATTGCCAACCATCGATGCATCTCAAAAACTGATCAGTGGTAAAACTAAGTTACAAATGGCAAGAGACTTAGGACTACTTGTGTCAGACTGTGGGGTGGGATTTCAGGTTCTACAGAACACAGGTCATCTGGAGTTGTTGACTTTTTAACAGATGAAAAAGTAACTTTCATAAAAGCTGGGAAATTACTAAACTGAACAGTAGCTTTGAAATGCAACATTTATGAGCAGCAATTTTCAATATTATTTGTATTTAGGGATCATGGCTCACAATGCACAGGAAAACAATACTACCATGCCCTAGGACATTTATACCCGTCTATTCTACATTTATCCTACACTACCAGCTGCTCCCTTCGACACTCTCCCCTTTTTTACTCGAGTATGAAACAGCCATATAAATGTCAGACTGTCAGCAAGAAATGTCATTACTATGAATTTGCCTACTTTCTGGAAAAACAGTATCAGAACTTTTTTTATTTTGCATGAGAATACAGTATTCCAGATTTCACTGCCTGCTTCTGCTGCACGAACTCCAACAATTTAGATTTAAATCATTAAAGTATGCCTCATTGAAGATGAAACACGTAGATTTTGAGTTAATTATTCTGGGACAGGAGTTTTTTTTAGCTAGGCATCGCCTAGAACATTTGCAAGTGAACAAAAATAGCAACAAAAACCAAACACATCACCAACAAATTAAAAAAAAATATACTTCTGCAGTCAGACATCTTCCCTGAATCTTCCAGCATTTCAAACTGGAATCAGCAGAAGTGCCAAGGACAGGACTGCCCCGTCCGCGCTCACTGCTCGTGCTGGGCGCAGGCAGCCGCTTCCAGGCCGACCTTGGCAGGTAGTCAGGCAAGAACTCATACACAAGGTATGTGCACTGGCAGCTCTGTAAGGCCAGAAATTTACAGACAGTGCAGTGGAAGGTGGAAGTTTATCACAGCTCAAGCTAGCCCTACTTTTTTTTTTTTTTTCTTCTCCGTCCTCCTTCATTTTCCCTTTTTTTTTTTTTTTTTTAAGATGGCTTTTACTGTACTGAAAAGATAAAGGAAGATGAGGCTGGAATAAAAGGAAAGGGACGAAAAACAGTGTGTACTGAGTGAAGTGAGAACTCCACTAGCTGTTCTCTGTGAATGCTGCTGCTGAATTTGTAAGCACTTTCCTACTTAAGACTGAAAGTAATCAATGCTAATACTGTATCTGTAACATTTATAGTGTGGGAAGAACAACTAGTTTTTGCCAGTCTTTTTCTCTGCAGAATGTGTGTCTGGGGGTACCAGGAAGATCCCCCCAGGCTGCACTTCACACAACTAGAGCAACAGTTCTCACCTCACTGTGACAAACCTATTACACACGGAGATGCATGATGGGTCTCTTATTAAACCCATTTCCCAGACATGGAAGCGTTTGGTCTCAATGTCTCAAAAGTCAAGGTTTTTTTCTAGCAGTTTTAGTTAGGGCCACAGTGTGTCAGAAGACCTAGGCTTTGAAAAAACAGTTGCACTAATGGAAGAATTCACTGACAAGTTTTCTGACTCTGAGGCTCTTATACCAATGCAGCAAGATCATCAAGCAGCTCTTGCAAGAGCAACTTGTAACAGCCAGTTCAATGTCAACTCTTTATCAATCTTTTTAAAAATCAAGAGTAGGATTCTCCCCTGGAACGCTTCAGTTCTCCCTCAGAACACACCCATGGTTTGTCCAAACACAGAAGGAAGAAAAGCTTACCTTTTGCCAGGCGTTCCAATCTCTTGCCATGCTCTGGAGGTATGGCATACCTAGGAGAAAGTTAACACAGAAGAAAAAACAGAAATTATCATTCTAACAACAGTGAGAGAAGGCAGCTAGAAACAAGTGTGGTAATAACTTGTAGCCCAGCACACTAACAATTAATATCTGGAAATATAACCAAAATTTTCTACGTCTGTAAAGTATCAGCAACATATAATACCTGGAAGAAAGCCAGTATTTTAATAAAAGTCCTTAGACATGTTATACAACATGCAACTTTTTTAAACAACATCACAGGACTTCACAAGGTATAAGGAAAACTGAGAAGACAAAGTGATGATACAGCACTGGAAAAAACAGAAATAAATCACTATATAGAACTGCAGGCATGTTTTCCACTGCAAAGGTATCTGCAAAAGAAAACCATGAGGCTGTGCTAAAGATTAACACACAAGAAATTTCAGATGGGCTCTAAAGGTGTGAAGGAGAGTCTGTGTATATTGGCATATCTACAGTAAATTAGGATAAACTTTTTCAAGGGAAACTCTGTGTAAATATTTTTCATTCTATTCAAAAAAGTAAATATTCTTCAAAATGGCTGAAGCAGTCAATCCTTATATCTATTCCGGACTGTACTGTCCAGTGTGAAATAACTGGATTAAACTATTTCATAATTTTCTTCATGAGGTGAATGAAAAAGCAGAGTCTTCTGAGGAAAACAACACTAAAGGATATAGGGAACAACTTCTACACTATTTAAAGACATTTTTGTTAGATTAGTGGTAAAAAAGAATGCAAAATAATTTGATTGAAATGGGGTTTTTCCCACAAGCATGAAGTATTGAACATAACTGGAAAAACAATCAACTGCCTAAAGTCACACACAAGCCCAATTGCACTGTTCTCCTGTGATCACTGGCAGACAGCACCAGAGTCCCACTTCCAAAACAATTTTGCCGTGTGAAGAGATAATACACCAGGTTACGGAAAAACAAAGACTGTTCATTTCTACCACTCAGAAGCTTCCACTGAGCTCTCCTGCGTGGGTAACAGCTCGTGACTGCTGCCTAAATGCTCAGTCCACTTCAGAAAGTTAAGAACAAGAAATTTCTCTTTTCTTACAGGCACTTTGAACACTTCAATGCATTACATTACATTAAGGTAATGTAATGAAGACGCTAAAAGCAACTTGAAAAAAAACTGCACAAAACTTCTAATAGTTGCAAAAACAGTACTCTCTGTGACAATTATTTACAAAAATCACGGAAGTTTCAAATAGCTGTTTTCTTCCCACAAGTTGTTAGTTACCTTCCTGCTTTGAAGTTATACTACCTCAATATTAACAGAAGCAAAGATCAGGTGACTAAGATTTTAAGCATTCAGGTTTTAACAAGGCAACTAAATACCTTGATACAGTTAAACATGTTTAACATGATGACACACATTATAATGTCAATGGGATTTCTTAAGTTATTGTTTACATACTGCAGCAAATTAAATATGGCTCTCATACCATTTTTGTAACAGAGAATTTTGAAAAATTACATTTGTGAGAATGAGATTTATTGCCAGCTATAACTTTTGTTCAGTGTGAATAATAAAAAAAAGGTATTATTTTTGCTATTTCCAATAAAGATGTCAAAATCATTGTGTCTCATTATAACAAGCTGAAAACAGGATATTGTAACAGGTGAAGGCACTATCTTAACAACAAGTAAACAGTATTGCTCTACTTATGATAGGATCTCTCTCAAAATACATCTGATTTTAGAGGACTTTCAGGCAGCCCCCTTGCTCAGCTTCTCAATTTTAAAGTCTGAAGTTTATCTACAATGTAAGGAGAAACAGACAAAAGTCACATCCCATACTGCTTTTGTACAAATCCAAAATTTACCTATTGTGGTCTGGCAGGTTAGAAAGGATAACCAAGGACAGAAATCGTACATGGGATGCTTCAAGATTTAGACATTAAGCCGATTTAAACTGATGGCTTAAAAAAAAAAATCTAAGGGAAAGCACTATGTAGCACCTAATCTTGTAAAATAATAAATATAGCAATGGACTCCCAACATCCTCAGACCAAAGTTTGACAGTGCCTTAAATTGCATAATTATCAAACAATTCAATTTCATTTGTCTGGGACAAAGCTAGTAGCTTTCATTTTACAAAGGCCATTCATCACTTACATAAATGTGATAAAACTAATCCCGATCCAAAGCTCCTTTGTGGGATTAATGTCCCTTAAAACAGGGAAATGAGACATTCCATTCCTTCTGGGAAAAATGCTGAAGGATTGGGAAAGAACTAATTTATGGCTACAAGGCTGCCGATGATTAATGTAATATCCCCAGTCTACAATGCAACCTTCACTTAATTAGTGCCTGTAATTGGGAGTTGTAAAGATAAGATTAATTGAATCTTGAGGATGTTAAAAGTTTAATACATTGGAACATGGTTATTGTGTTATCTGAAACTGCAGACTGCAAAAAGCCAAGCTGAGCTTTAGAGAACGGTCCATGGAGAGACAAAGAAAAAGGACTTGCTTGGGTAGAAACCAGCAAGAGGAGGAATTTCCAGCTTATAGAAAGGAACTATATGTAATACTATACAAATCAGAATACCTTACCACAGAACAGCCTCTTGGTAATAGCTGACTACAATTTTAGAAATTAACTTTTTTTGTTTGGGCCAGTCTTTTAGGAAGCAGAGCCTATACATCCTTATACATTTATTCTTAGGAATTCAAAAAATTAACTGCAGAAGAGAATTAAAAGTAGGTCAAATTCTGCTTTAAGTTACACTCACAAATCTGACTGATTTGCATAAAGATAGGCAATAAAAAAAGAATTTGGGCTGCTATTTAAAACCAGTAAGAGAAACAGAAGGCTTCCGCAAGTATTGCACAGATTGAGCTAGCAAGCTCAATCTAGACATAAAATGATTGATTACAAGGTAGAATAACAATTGAGGTGACATGGAACGATTAGAAATTGCTGCAATCAAAGGAGTACTGTTATTGAGCACATAAACATCCACGAAGGGCTGGCTTTTGTGTGCGACCTTATGGTACCATCCTCCTGCTTTCACTATGAAAAACGGCCAGGCACCCATTGGGGACAAAAATCCTTGACAGAGGGAACTGACAAAACACTGTCATTCAGTACAATTTGTTACCATCCCTCTTGTACCCACAGGCTGGGGCTCAGATCAACAGTGAAACGTCTTTAATTCCAGAAACAACTGACAAGATTATGCATGGTAAAGCATAGCCAATAATTTCCTTTTCTATATGCATGACTATGAATACATTAAGATTTTTTTTTTTCATGAAATAGTATGGTTATTTTCCTTTAGTACTCCAGTCCAAATACTAAATGTATTAGGTTTCCTCGAAAAAAACACCAAAAAAACCTCCACCCTATCAAAATCTTAGGGGTGGGGGGGAAATCCAAACACATATAAAACCACTTTCCTTCTCTGTCTTATTCAGATCACAGCATACATGCATTCCACAGAGATGAGGAAATAGAAGAAAAAAAACTCAAAACAAGCAAAATACCACTTTTATATCAATTGGCCAAAATAGACTACAGTATCCATGAACTGGGCTGTGTCGAGACTATCAGACTGAGAACTGCCTGATGCTTCACCCCCGTTGACAAAAGCACTTTCATGAAATCTCTCTGCCTGGGCAAGACTGAATTAGGTACAGAGCAGGACTAACTGATCCAGCCTCAAGCAGACACTTCTTTTTAACCACAGCAAAAATAGAGCAAGGACTTTCCATTGCTCCAAACAACCTGAACTAAAGAGAAGTGATAGTGGCAGCATGAGTATTTTAACAGCCCTTAAGAACCATCCTTTTAAAGATTACTTCTGCTTCAGAGAAAACATCTGCAACAGCCAACAGAAAACACAACAGTGCCGAAAATGCTGACCTTGAGACACTGCTACAAGTGCAGAATATGTCCCTTCTGGTTCAACCGATTCCCCAAAAAAAGTAAAGTCAAGTAAAAAGTGCTAAGCCAGCAACTGTTTTAAGATATATTAAACTTCCAAGAAACTGGGCTTGCAAACAAACCAAGAGACTAATGTCTTAAGTACGTACTTCCAAGGGTCAGCCTTGCAGTGGCTGACCAAGACAAAGGACCAAGTGTAACCTGAAAACCTGCCAGTCAGCAATTTGTCAGATTACAGCATGAATAACGTCCTGCTGCTCCGCCAGGGAACACAAGATTTACAGAACAGGGGAAAAAAAAAATAATCTCAAGATAAAAAAAGTTATAGCTATATGACTCAAATGTCATCTTACCCCGAAGTCAACAATCTGAAAGTAATATACTGATCCTTTTAAATTACTTTTTTCTACATTTTCTACCAAAACATGAGAAGGTCCCTGAAATGGATTAAGTATCACTTCTACAGGTACGGAACTTACTGTTCTACGTGAAAGACTTTCAGCTTCCAAACTAGTTTCACGAAACCTAATTCCAGCATCTCTGATTTCTATTTCCCTGAAATTTTTTGAGTTCTTGAGTATCCTGCAAAACTGATTCTGACTGTAATTACCAGACACCAGGATAACAGGTCCAGAAAGGATTTACGCCAAAGCTACAGATGTATTAGACAATCATTTCCCTACAGTGGTAGTTTGCTTTTGTTAACATAGGTTTAACTGGACAGTCCCCTTTTTATGCTTAACACAACAGAAAGATCCTTCCTACTTGCCATAAAGGATGTCATTAATCGTGTAATTTTCTTGGTGTTTTGTTTATTCCCCTGGAATGGCTTGATGGATGCGGATAATTATCAGACTATAAAAGCCAGCAAATGTGCTATTTTCTATCGCTCTAAATCATCAAACAAATAAAGTGTGAAACAGCATTTTTGAATACAATTTTCCCCTCTAATGGCTTAGAATTATTATCAGGAACAATGAAAATAAATAAGCAAATGTCTTGTGAGTTAAAAATTAAGTGAATGTGTCAGTAAAAAAGAGCAGACAGACCATGCTGGGATACAAGGACCAGTTTAGAAGCCATTAAGG